TCTCTTTGTCAGATTCAGGGCTGATGTTTACCTCTGAGGAGATACTGACCGTAGAGAACAATTCAGGGTTCAGAAGCCAAAATCACTGCACCCAAGCCATTAAATATATGTTCTAGTACCTGGTAGCAGTTTTCTATTTATATTATAAGTAGATGGGGAAAATGCACTCCCCCCCTGAAAAAAAATACTAATCTCTCAGCTTTTTTGCTATGTTTTATCCACACCTGGGCTGTGTGTTATAGATACTCTCAATCTAAATTTATGGCTTACTAGTTTCTAAGAGAGTATCCTAATTGGTGAAAGTGATTTACCCATGTCAATCATGGAAACTTCAACCATCTTGATCTGAATGATGGCTGGTGTAGGTACCTCATAGGTGGTCACTGCAAAGCTGGATTGCTAATTGGCTTGAAAATAGAATTTATACATATTCATTTCACACCAGAGATTAAGTCATGTTGAAATTTTACCTGTGTGGCATGGGTGACAATTACAGTGCCAGACTTTGTATTACATAATGCAGTATATTATATACGCAGATACTTGTGCACTACAGATCCATAAGCTGTTACTGCCCCAGTTTTTGGACAAGGAAAATACTACATATTTTCTCTATATCTCATTACTTTTTCACAAAACATTCTAGTAAGTTCCATTTTCACCATGTTGCCTAAATCCAAGCCACTCATGAAAAAGGAAGAATAGCTATAGTAAGACACATAATACATAATGCTACCGAGGGATGCATTGGAACTTAATGCAAGTCGTTCTGTACAAAGCTCATACTTCTACATTGTTCATTTTAGGCCATTTTTAGCTTACATTAGTTATACAAAGAGTGATGTCATTCCTTTATTTTCTATTCACAGACTTTCAATCACCAAAGAAAGATTTTTTTGATTATCTACAAATAGAGTAACTTTAAAATATGTACTAAAGAGGGCTATTAACGATTCATTATATAAAAGTTATATTGTAAAATTTTTCCAAAACTGATTGAGCTGAAAATGTAAGAATAATAAGGATTAAGTGCTAGTGTATAGAAAGTATAATTTAAAATAACCTAGTAGGATTTAATATCAACATCATCCCAATGAGGTGGTGTACTTTTTTAATTCCCCACTCATAGTATAGCCTCATTTTTATGTGATGGAAGATTGTCTTACTGGCAACCACAGCAGATTATTTTATATGTCACTGAGTCACCAATCCACAAACGATACAACTGGACTCCTCTGAGCTGCTAAACATTCCTAATTGCTGTGTTCTAAGAGTTTCCGGGAATAGTGAAGAGGGTGATCCATGATTGTTCACAGTTGATATTTGAACCAGAAGTGGTAAAACATTGTCTGATATAAATTCTGTAGGAATTAACTGCAAAAGTATAAAAACTTGTACCATAAATCAACAATAGAAAAAGGAGGGAGAAATGCTAGGCTAGGAAACACCAAGGAAAGAAAGCCAACTTCTATTGACTAAGCATATGTACAACATTGTTTTGGAGGTAACAGTTACAAAAGTGTTGATTTTCTCATTCAGTTAAACATGCAACTAAAATTTCTTTATTGGTTTGAAGAAGTAGTAACAACCATCTTTTGGAGATTGATAGGTAGCTGCCTACTATGTATAATATATATACTTATACATGTATATATACATTTATGTAGATACACTTATCCATACATACACAGTGATAAAATATTTTAGATGTGATAGCATAAATGCAGTAGATAAAAGTGTTCTAGTCACATTTCCATGAAAAATATAATTTTCTACACTGTATATCTTGTAGAGGATATCCTTCGCTATTCTCTTTGTTAAATTTATTACTATTTTCAAAATAAAAATATTTCCCTTTCTCTGAAGGATTGGAATTTGGAAGCCTCTTAATTATGACAAGTTTCATCCTGTACATGAACATATATCTTAGCCTTTCTGCTGTTTTCTTAACCCTAGAATGCTTTTAATTAGCTTCTTCATGGAACAATGGATTCAAATTTGCACTCTATAAAATCCAGCAGATTCTATGTCATTAAAGGAGAAGATTAGAGGATAGCAGAGTTAGAAATTGTAATTTTTTAATTTTTTTAACTTTAACCTGAAAATTGATATTTTTCTTTGTCAATTGTTGGTTGAAATACTTTTCCATTTCTCTAATACAGAGAAACTATTTGAGATGGATGTTGTTTCTAGTCCATCAATTATATTGTAAAGGTTTTATAATGAGAGGAAGACAGTGTATCCTAAAATCCCAATATGTCACAGGAAGTATACATTAGCTTATGGTTTGTACACACAATATTTGAAAATATTTTTAAAAATTGTTTTATCTCTGGAAGTGAGCGTATTTTTATGGTTGATATTCTGTCTCTAAATGTACAGTGCAGTAGTGTTTGTCTTAATAGACAGCTGAGGCATTGTAACAAAGTCACAAATAGCTACTGAGTCAGTATAAATATCACTACCTGATCTCTTTCAAGTACTTGTTTTGGAACAAGTTTGAAAGTAAGCAGAAAAGTAAAGAAAAGCAAACAAATCCACTGAGCACCAATTCAGCTTTTTGTTGTACCGTATAGGGTGTTAGTGAAGCAATTGCAATGTGAAGATTAAGCCACGGGGCCTTACAGCAATGAGCAATGTAATATCACTATCCTATTTTAGAATCAGTATTTTCACATATAAGCTCTACTGCTATTTCAGCAAGAATTATTGTGATTTTATCATTTATATGACATATTCATTACATATTTTTAAAAATATGGCCTTTAGTATGTTTTCTGTTTTGTTTGTCATACTAGGTATGTTTACTAATGAAATTAATTTTATATTAAGCATCAATTATCATAGCAATATATATTTTCAGCTAGAATAATTTGTGTTTTTATGTAAGTAATCTGGGATCTGAGACTTTAATAAATGATAGAATTAGTGTGGTCACATTTTTTAGTTCAGCATATTAACATTTTGAAGTGTCAGTGGTGAATGCAACATTTGGAAAAATTTGCATCAAAGAATTAAGCTGTGAAATCTGTTTGAAAAATGCAGTGCTTCACCTACAAAAGACGAAGTATGAATAGGTCTGCATTTGCTTACAGTGAAATTCCAAATATATGACATAATTTGCACAGGGAAGGAATAAAATATTTAACCATTAATGAAAGATTTGAAAAAAATTTACTGGATGCTTTATATTACTCTTAAAGTCCTGAAATGATACTTATGAAAATGATACTTATATGAAACAATCTATTTATGAAAAAAGAAATCTTCCATCACAAAGAATTGTTTTTGTCATCATAATATTATATTGCTGAGAAAAAAAAATCTTTAACACATTGGTATGAAACTTTTTTGGATTCGGTGAAAGTCTCTAGATGACATTCTATCCATAGCTTCTTGTTTTTGTCTTATTTATTACATAAATCTTAAACATTAATTATAAAAATGGGTCACAGCCCAAACAGTTTGTAAACTACCAATTCAGTGTATACTAATCAATAATGTAACAGTGAAATGATTTAAATGTTCTTTGCTACATTTAGAACATTTCAAATTAATCGTCTTTCTTAAGACCTAGATAAATAAGATAGATGTTAAATCCAAATTTTCTTCATATGATTTATTTCCTGTCTTCTGGGGTAAACTTATCCCTTCAGAGCTACAGTCCATTGAGCAGAAAATATATACACATATGCAAAAATGCTTTTAAGTGTGTATTGATAAGTATATACATGTGCATACATATATATATATACATTAATATGCATATATGTACACATACGTATAGATGCATGCTCATTTATACACAGGCAAATGTATATATTTTTAATTTGGGCAGGCAAATGCATCTCATGCCAGGTAGTGCAACAAAAAGGACTTACTATGAAGAAAATGTGTTGACCAATTGTAGGAATTTGGCACAGAGAAATTTTGTACCATCTCCAAAGCACCAAAGATGAAAGAAAGCAAAGTTCTAATGTGGCTCTTAGTGGACGAATTTCACAGAGGCCAGTTCAGTGGCAAAGGAGCCTGTGTTCTGTGGCTTTCTGCAGATGTACCTCTGGGATTCAGAGTGGAACAGTGGAGGAGATGGGTGGACAATGTTTAGGTTGAGATAATGGGTCGAGAAGCAGCGTTTTTTTGTTGAATAAAAATATTCACCATGTGACATAATGAAATCTATTTGGGGTTTTTATAACTAGGAACATAAAATTCTTCTCTCTGATAGCAGGACCATAGACCAGATGATGCCAGAGTTATTTTCAAATCAGGGATTTCAGTGGGCCACAAAAGTAATAGAGTTCTGTTCGAATGCATTTTGCAGCCATTGTTTTTATATGAAATATTCACATGATGACAGAGACAACAATCCAGAGTCTCCTACTGAAAATCTCTACAGCATATATGGATTCGGAATTTCAAACTTTGTCCCATTTGAAGATTCAAATTGACATGGGGAATATTCTAAGTTTTTCAACCTAATATCTTGCCATAGAGGAAAAATGGTTTTGTAAAATTCTATATTCAATACTAATTTTCTTTGTGAAAGAGTGATGATTAGCTTTTAAACAGTTTTTAAACTGAGTTTACTGTGAATTTCTTTTACTTATCTTTAGTGTATTAATATGTATTCTGGCTGGGGACGTAATCTCGTAAATGCTTATCTAGCATGAACATTGCCCTGGATTTGATCTCCACAAGGAAACAGAAGACAAACACAGAATTATACTAACAAGTTAGCTGGTTAAAAGTGCTGTCTCTCTAGTGTGTAGACTACAGGGTGATAGTCTGGTTCTGCTTTGTCTTTTCCTTTCAGTCTTGCTCCACCTTTAAGGGAAGCACAATTAATTTTAATAGTCCCTTTTGGAGAAGAGAAAAGAAAGTATCCATCATGAAACAACACTAGCTTTTTCTTGACATGAATCCTGAGTGAAAATTAAGCATAACTTAGAATACAAGCTGTTATTTAAAACTTGGATTTTTTTTTAATTTTATTTTAGACGCTTGGAACAGAACTCAATCAAGGTCATTCCTCCCGGAGCTTTCTCACCATATAAAAAGCTCCGAAGAATGTAAGTGAATATTCTAGAAAAAAGAAATTTATAAAATTATACAGATTATCCACATGCAAGGATAACTATAAAATATTTTTGAGTTTGACAGTTTAAGCATATTAAATTATTTGACTATCTGTTGTCTAGCTCTATAATAATATGTTTATTCTTAGTAACTAAACTATGTTGTTTTTTTAAAGTTCTCTGTAATTTCGCATATTAATTCACAGCAGGTTGAGTGTATGTGGTCCATACATGAAACAAATTATTACCCATTCTGTTCCTTAAAATAAGATATGGCAAATCTTTAATATGAACTTAAGGAAATAGCCAATAGTTGGATTTTAAAAGTGTGATTTATCTTTGAATTTATGATTCTTCTGATGTTCAGTTTTATAGAACCCTTGAGAAGGGCAAAGCCAACTTACAGAACCCATAAATTTCCTTCTGCTACAGTAAACCTCACTGCATCCTATTTAATTTAACCTAACCTTATTTCTGATCTTAGTGACCTGAGCAATAATCAGATCTCTGAACTTGCACCAGATGCTTTCCAAGGACTCCGCTCTCTAAATTCACTGTAAGTATCAGTCTGCAAGGCTTTGCTGAAGGACAGAAGAATCTACAAAACAGCATGGTGGCCAACTTTCAATTTAGGCTTAGGAAAACACATGAATCGTGAATAATATTAACTAGTACTGCTGGATCTCATCATTTTTATGGGGGACCACCCTCTGTAACTAAAATGGGCCAGGTTTAGGAGCAGGTATTTTATGGTTTTATAGTTTTGCTGTTAATAAAGGAAGCTTAAGCTGCCCTATTTGTACAATGGCGTTTTCCATTTGAAATAAATAGAAACGTTCATTTTGCTCTTGAGGATGCTCTATTTGTGGTCTCTAAGTCCATTGACCCTGGTCTGAGGACTCTGTCAGTTCTTTTGAAAGGATACACAGGGTGCTGGGCTCTAGAGAACAGGTAAGCATAGTGAATGACCGCTCCATTCTACTCCTTCTTCCTAACAATTTTAAGCTGGTATTTGACCACCAAAATTCTATCTGCTGGAGGAAACTAAACTATTTTTGGCCAATGTGTGTAAGCCCTCTCCTAATAGATAAAGTGACATGTTTGTTGTCATTATAATTTGGGTTATTCCATTTATTATTATTTGGTGTAATTAATGTAAGACAAATCTTTATTAGCAATGTAGCTTTCAAAATGCATCTATTGAACCATTTCATCCTCCGGACTCTTTTTCTCACTGAGACAGTAACAGCATTTTTATATTTCACATTCTCTTAAGAAACCAACACATTTTAATACTTAGCATTTTCTGCAGTGTTCACTGTTTTCCCTTCTTAAGTCAGAGCCTTCCCTTGATATTAGCAAAATTAAAAGTACTGTGGCATTATAGCATCTTCTGGTACGAGAGGGTTTGTGGCTGGCACAGATAGCTATACAATAGCAGTTGTTGAATAAATTAATCAAAAGGTATTGAACTGAAAATCCTGAGTCACTGCCACATTAACCTACTCCCTTCTGTCCCCGACTGTCCTCTCCTCTCTTATTCTTGACCTCAGAGAATACATTGATACATTTTACTTTTACTTAATTTTTCCCACCTTACCCCTAACACACAGAACTTTCCCTTTTGTTCTTTGAATTTAAAAAAATCGTTTTCTTTCCGTAATTCATTTGCCTTGCTAAAGGAAAATCTATGTCCTATACAAATGAAATTTATCTTGTACTTTACAGCCCCAATACTGGTTTCTGAACAAATGGGCTGTCTCTTCACACCATGTAGCACCCAGCTTTACTTATTCCCTTGAGAGTTTTCTTCATTTATTGTCATCCATCGCACCTCACTCTGACATCTTAAAAGGGGAATAGCATCTCCCTCCCTCTATTCATCTACCTTATATGTTATTTTCTTCCTTTCCACATAGAAATAATGTACAGCTGCCAAACATATTAATTATTTAGATTGTTATTTCAGCTTTTTCCTGCATATATCATGGCATGCTTTTATTTCTCTTCCAAAAGAATATCTTTTTACCTTGGGAAATAATGTATGTTTATTGTAGAAGCTACGAAAATACCAGAAGGTATATAAACCCAAATTTGTAACACTTCTACATTGTTCTGCTTGTATGATTACATATTTTCCAATTGATATAGTCTTGTAATACAGTGCTGTAAAGTACTACTTGTTAATTAAAAAAAATGTTATAGCACAAACACCTTCACATCACTAAATATCCTTGAAAATTTGAATCTTATTGAAGGAAAACATATTAACAAATTCTTATTTTTTACATTGGAGGCATTTCATGCATGGTTAATTTTTTGCTGTTACAAATTTTGCTGTGACTGATATTTTATATGTAAATATTGTATTGTATATCATCCTTTTTAAAAAATTGAGCTCCTAAAATAGAGTGTAAAATGGAGTCAAGTTAAAATTTAGATAAACATTTTATGACTGTTGTTGAAATACACTAACAAAAATGTTCTCCCAAAATATAATTCTGCCTTCTTTGACACATAGCTCTTATGCTCACCTTGAAAGACTATAAGTAGATAAGACATTGGGTTGTGTGCCTTTTACAAGTGACTGGTGTAAGTCAACCTTTCCATTCCACTCCTTTGCTCTTTCTATTCATTCCTTATGTTTGATTTATTCCTTACTTTATTTCTTTGCTAATTGATCATCTTTTTATTTGTCAATTCAATGTTAGGAAAAATCCGCTAGCTCCTTGATGCATTTAATGTCTCCACTTTATATCTGAACAGAGTTGCATACCATGAGAACTCATTCAGGTTTATACTTCTTGGGGGTTATATATTTCTTTTTTATATTAATAAGTTTTTTATTGTGAAAATACCATTACAATTACATGAGCAAGGTAATGAGTACATTTCTTAATAAGAACAAAGGAAGAGTACATTTCCTTTGTTTCCCCTTACCATCCCTGCCCTTCCCCCGAAGTTATATATTTCAAAACTCATAAATCTATATTCATGATCACTCTCCTAAACAGATCTTACATTTCTCAAACATATATATTGTATGTTTAAAACAAAAGTCCTATTTTATATGGATGTCTTCTACCATTGACCAATATAATGAGGCCAGAAGTTGTCTTTAAAATAAGTGAGGGATTCTATATTTAGTGTGCATATGCTGTGGTCTCATTGCCTGTGAATTATTTACATATGTGTATGTGTGTATTTGCACAGGTGTATAGGAAAGCATGATGATTTAATGGGAAAGCTTATGAAAGGCCAATTAAGTTGTTATATGAATTGAGATTAATCTTTGTCTTTGTCTTTCATGTTTTATATAGAAACCTACATATGATCTGTAATCTAACCAAAGGCTTTTATTCAATTTTGCCTGTTATAATGTGTCAAGGTTCAACTTACCTGCTCTATTCTTGAGTACATTCGTATTAGATGAATTTGTTATGCTTGTTTGATGGCTTATTTTTTTATTTTAATGTATTTCAGTGTCCTCTATGGAAATAAAATCACAGAACTCCCCAAGAGTTTATTTGAAGGACTATTTTCCTTACAGCTGCTGTAAGTATCTGTTTGCTTCAGATCTGTTGAGGATCTACTATACCCAATATTATATTTTATTAGTTTACCTTTTCTATTTTGATGGAGGCTTCAGACAATTCAACCCCAAATGATGCAACTGAATAAAAGGGGCAAGATTACTCAAGTAAACTTAACATTGGTTATGGCTGTTTGCTTGAAATTACAACACTTTGAAATGGACCCAAAATACCTTTCTCTACACTGTCATAAGCATATGAACATTAAGTGTATATCATTATGAATTTGTGTAACATCTGCCCTTGTGGCATCCAGGCCTAATGTAATAAATTCTATGTAACAAAAGAGAATGTGCACTTTGGAAAGCAGAAGCTAGATGTGGCATACATCTACAATCCCAGCAACTTGGATGTCAACGAGGCAGAGGCTTAAAGGAGCAGGGTGGAGCGGCATGGTTCATGTGATAGCGTACTTGCCCAGTGTATAGGAAATGCTGGGCCTAATCTTCAATAGCAAGAAAATACAAAAGGAAGGAAGAAAGGAGAAGGAAGGAAGGAAATAAAAGACAATGAAAGGAAGGGAAAAGAAGAGATGGAAGTGGAAGAAAAGGAGGGAGGAAGAGAAGGAAGGGAAGATTAAAAAGGAAAGAAAAAGAAAATGGAAAAAGCGCATTAAATATGAAGAAATGAGAGAGCTAGAAATTGGGAAGGATCAAAAATACAAACATGAAAGAGTGGTCAGGGAAGCTGGAAAGAGGAAACATTTGAGCAGATCAAAGCAAAGGGACTAGCTAGCCAGGCAGATTATCTGGGAGCAGAATGTTGGATGAGAGGATTTAAAAAAAAAAAAAAGAAAGAAAGAACAAAAGACCTGTGTAGCTGGACCACAGGAACTAGGAGGAGAAAATGAAATGTGCTAAGTTCTCAGGAGTGGGTAACCTATCCTGTTGAGCACTGTAGGGTTTGGTGATTGTAAAATGACTAAGAGTAACTTGAGCTGATGTGTGTGCTTTGGAATAATCACTCGGGCTGAAAACAGACTGAACTTTCCCAGTGAGTGATGGGAGCGGTTTTCAATGTGCTAAGCATCTTCAACTCCAGAGGCTGAGTTTCACCTAGTGTTATCTATTGTTCCCCTCTACAGCCTCCTTAACATATATTTAGTCAATTTCGTTGGATAGGTGAATAAATATCACAGACGGAGATTCATTTGCTCTTGCCTGTTTGGTTTACTCAGGTAAACCTCAAATCTCCAGCCCTTCCTATCTAAGATTAGTATTTCCGGTAGCATGTCATGGTTGAGATGGAAACAAATGTGTTTCTTGGTCACATTGCCTGAAGAAGTGGAAAAGCTTACAGCCACGCTAGAGCGGGTGCCATGTTGACCTTGTACAACTATCTGATCACGCAGATTACTGAATGCCAACAAGATAAACTGCCTCCGCGTAGATGCTTTTCAGGATCTGCACAACCTGAACCTGCTCTCCCTGTATGACAACAAGCTGCAGACCATTGCCAAAGGCACCTTTTCAGCTCTCCGGGCTATCCAAACGATGTATGTATAGGAAAATCCAGACCAAATGTGACAAGCCTTGACTTTTTTGTTTTGTTTTGTTTTACTCTGAACGTGGGAGTTGAGGCCCACGCAAGTTCCATATCAAGCTGTTTCTGTCTGTTACAAGGCATCTGGCGCAGAACCCCTTTATTTGTGACTGCCATCTGAAGTGGCTGGCGGATTATCTGCATACCAACCCCATTGAGACCAGCGGTGCCCGCTGCACCAGCCCCCGCCGCTTGGCAAACAAAAGAATCGGACAGATCAAAAGCAAGAAATTCCGTTGTTCAGGTAATTTCTAACTTCCTCAGACATTTCCCTGGGGACCCCCCCCAAAAGAAAAGCAAGTCGTTCACCCCGAGATTTTGCCTATAAGCCTGATGACCAGACCTTGTAGCCCCCCTTTCTTGCCCATGAAGAAATAAAGCAGGAGAAATGCAGGCACACCTTCCCTTGTCTCCTAGCCAGCCCCAAAGTAGCCTAATGAGTCAAGTGGAAATGGTGCCAGGAGGCATTCACAGGGTTTATAGGTAGTCAGGGCCTGTTAGTGCACTTGAAATGCCTTTAAAAATATGTGAAGTCTCGTGTGTGCTGTAATTATTATTCTCTTTTGACCGGCTTCAAATAATCAGTCATGTTTTCGTTTCTTCAGAGAGTCCTGAGACTCGGTCAGGCTCAGAAATAGGAGGAAACTCTCCTCAATCCTCTAATTGTACTTTGGTCACTTTACATTCTCTTCTTTTGAATAGCACGGCGGAGACACACGTTTGTTTGTTGTTGTTGTTGTTGTTTTATTTTAATTCCAAAAACCCAACTGTCAATGTTACATTGGATACAGAGCTAAATATAAATTCAACAGTATTGCTATTATGTAGAAGACTGGATATTGACCATACTTGTTTTGAGACAGTCTTTTATCTGTGTTCTGATCACTTAATGTATCATCTATGTTGTGGGGGTTTTTTTGTTCTGTTTTTTTTTTGTTTTGTTTTATGTTTTTTTTTTTTTTTTGGTAGTTTGCTACTTAACTGTTACAGGCTATTTTACGTTGGGCAATTAATTCATACTAAAAAGCTAATATCAGAACCAGGCTGTCTATATTGTTCATGATAATAGATGCATTTATTATTCACTGTACATTATTAAACGTTAGTGAATATGCATTTTTCACTTACCTATGGTAACTGTAGTCCATTCTTAATCTAATATAACTCATATCTCTGCTTGCTGACATTCAGGTGCATCTTCTATTTTTTTCTCTCTTTTTTTTTTTATTTAGCTAAAGAACAGTATTTCATTCCAGGTAGGTTTTGCTCGGTGGTAGGACTAACAGCAGACACGCTTTCCTAGCCTTATGAAATATGGCTTCTAAACCTTTGATATGCATGCTCTCGAAAGAACACTGAATACTCTATAGATAGAGTGACTTATGCATAGATCACCTGTAGTGTCTTCCTGAATACCTGAACTTTGCATGCAGCTTCTGATGTTCAACATTATGATTAAACTCCCACATTTTTTTCCCCTCTCCTTTTTACTTTGGCACATTATCTACAATTCCTCACAGTAGCTAAAAATATTTGAACCTATGGCTCTCTACTTAAATCATTTTCCTCTCTACATTATATATCAGATCTTTCAGCCTGTTTTTAAAATATAGCTTACTGAGCTAGTTTTAAAGACAGAAGCCTTTCTGATGTCAAAGAGCTAGCTCTCCATGAAATCAGTTATAAACATGCAGACCTGAATGTTCAACAGGAGAATTATATTTTTTAAGTCTTTCACATTAAAGAAAGCATTTTTGACTCCTATTGGTTTACCTTTTTATACCAAAGCATAAAAAATAAAAATAAAGAAGCCTTGTGCTGATTTAACTACACTTGTTCCTTATTTATCTGTGACTTTGCAATCTTGCCTGTATGGACTGAGAATATGAATCCACAATTAGAATATTGGTGTCCATCAGGAAAACCTTAGAAGATCATGGTACTAAATGCCTTGAATTATTTAGGCAGATGGATTAAATGCTTCTAAGAAAAGTAATTGTGTTGTTTTATGACCTCATTTCAGTTCAGCACACTAAAGACTGATGGTCTGAGAGCTAGCTCTTTACACTGCATTCTATTAGTTATTTCTCTTGCCTGCCAATTGTATAAAATGTCTCCTGACTTGTTTTAAATCATTATGTTAAAAATATATGTTAAGTATTGATTGGCAACATTTACCATCTTCCTGCATATATTTTAGACTACAATGTGTTATAAAAGCTGTAAACAAAATGACATTTCTACAGTGTCAGGCCACAAAATCATCTTTACTTTCTTAATAAAAACTTTGGGTTTGGGCTGGGAAGGTGGCTCAGTGGTAGAGCACTTGCCTTGCATGCCTGAGTTCGATTCCTCAGCACCACATAAGCAAAAAGAAAAAAGCCAGAAGTGGCGCTGTGGCTCAAGCAGTAGAGTGCTAGCCTTGAGCTGAAGAGCTGAGGGACAGCGCCCAGGCCCAGAGTTCAGGCCCCACGACTGGACCCCAAAAAAAAAAAAAACTTTGGGTTTGATGGCTATTTTAAGGAGATATTTATTGCTTGTAATTATTGAAGTATAATTGAGATATGATTTGCATATTTAGGTATAGTACTTATTCTGAATTGATCAAGGAATGTTTTATATTTTATGTTCATTTGACTAACATGTAACAAGTTGAACAGTTGATTGGCCTTCATTGGTAATATTTGAAATGTACTATTTTGTTGCATAATTACAAATTGGAAAATCATGTGATAGTCTTTATCAAACTGAAGAAAAGCCATTTTCCAAGTTTGGAATAGCATATCAACATGACTTAAATCCCTAAATTGTAGCATTTCATGTATCTCATTATTATCAAATCATTCCAACTACTCTATTTGAATATACTTTTTATTATTTACTTTATTCAAAATGATGACTAAAATACCCAGGACACAGAATGATTCTCTAGGCTTCTACTTCAATGGACTTTTTAACTATAGCCCTTAAGGATCCCTACGATTGGTTGGTTTTCCATTCATTTTTAGGTATGTACTTGCCCATTTCTATTCTATACAGCATTCTAAATACTACTGATACATCTTGCAAAGAGTCCAACTTTTTAAGGAAATTGACAAGAATTTGACGTTCTTTGCATCTTTTATGCCATTACTTTTCCCGTGAAGCCAGTATGCTTCCAAAAATTACAAATTTTACAAAGCATGACAAATCCATCCTCCCATGCTGTTCTCCTACAATTGACAAGCTTAAAAAAAAGGCAAAAGTATAGTTTGAGATATGTGTCTATTAACCTTAATTGGGGTTACTCTTGTCTTTCTTTCCTTCTTTGGTGATTTTTATTTTTTGCAGGAATTCACCACTTGGGCTGTAAGTAAATGTGTCTGATCTGAAACATGATATCTTCCCTTTTCAATCCCTGATGTACCTTCTTGTCTCAGTCTTTTGCTCCTTTTTCTCCCCTCTCTTAGAAGTAAACCACAAATCTTCTGAGCTTTCCTGTTGTCCTTGTAGCTTTTACCTTCCACTCCTTGCTCCTGAAAGCTACGGTCTCCCTTGCGCAGTTCTGAGGAACGTTGGAGAGGCACCTTTGAGTCTTAGCCCCTTCTTTGTGTTTCCAGGAACTCTCCGGTAGTAATACTCTTACTATGGTCATACACATTCTGCAGGAAGAATGCATGTCATGTAAACAGTATTATTACGTTTCCAGAAACGTCTGTATAGCTTTGTTCTCCTGCTTCCCTTCATCTCTCCTCTTGGTCTGACCTCTGGCCTAGTGGTTGGTGTAGTGATAACGTAGCGAGATTTTCTGTTGTGCTTGATTTAACCATGTGGTTGCGAGGTATGAGTAAAACATGGTTCCGTCAAGCACCATGGAACGTCACGCAGCTTTCTACAGCATAACACGCTGCTGAGGCTCCAATCGGGATTTACTTGTCTCTTTGCATAAAATCTAAATGGCAAACAAACAAACCAAAAAAAAAAAATATCAAAAAACCCAAAGAGGGCTCTTTAGGTACTTCTGAAGATTATGCGACAGGGCTAGAACAATAAAAATGCACAGAAAATTACAAAACAAACAAACCTGAGGACATGTATTTGCCTTGAAAGCCCTCATTTGTTAATGTTATAACACAGGACGATGTTGATCACTGGAGATATTTTCAATTTTTGACTCAGAAAAAAATATAAACATTGTTTTCTTTTCTTTTCTTTGTTAACAATACATAGCCATTGTGTGCTTAAGTTGTTGAAATAGTCTAGAATGGCTCAGAACTGGATCAGCAGAAAGTACGGCTGTGAAAAGCTCAACTTTATTAATGTTTTTCCTGTCATGTGAATCTGGTCACTCTTTTTTTTCCAGAAAATTCCAAGCCTTTCTTGTAACCCTCTCCTGACCAAAATTCCCTAAGTTGTCTCCCCGCTGCATAATCTATAGTCTTCTTACTCTTTTTCTGCCTACAAGTTAACAAATATTCTGACTTTTAGACTCAGTATCTTTCTCTTTATTTTTGGTTTGAATCCTCCATAGGTACAGAAGATTACCGATCAAAATTAAGTGGAGACTGCTTCGCAGATTTGGCTTGTCCCGAAAAGTGCCGATGTGAAGGGACCACAGTAGATTGCTCCAACCAGAAACTCAACAAAATCCCAGACCACATTCCCCAGTACACTGCAGAGCTGTAAGTTCATTCTAGAAATCCCTCATCCGGCTTAGAAAGGGACTAAAAGTATCAAAGAATAATAATTTTTGTCTTGCCACTTTTATTCCGAGTATGTGCATTTATCTTGATATATATACATTGTCCTGAAAGTAGCTTGTCTCTGTAGAAGGAGCAATTAGTTGATTCAGTTTACACTTAATGAGTATTGGAGTTTTTGAACTTACTCTGGGTGTCATCTACACACAAACCCACTTCTAAGAACTTAGTTTAAACGTAATGTATATATCCCTTACAGAGATAAGTGAAATTGGATATAGTTTAGTGTCTACATTTTACATCTTAGTTAAGTTTTTGAATCTAATCAAAGGAGTCCTTTTTGATCCGTGTTACCACTTCACTGACTCACAGAAAGATTCAGCAATGGACCTGCAGCCAAGGGCAAAGTGTCGGGTTTTGTTTTCCTCACTAGTAGACAACAGAGCAAGGAAAACAAAAGGCAACTGTGATGTGATTTATGTTTACAAGCCTCACATTGATCCTGAACCTAACATGTACTAGATGTGAAAAAAAGTGTGTATGTGGAATTATTGGTTAATTCTGGGGCCAACTAAGGATTCCATGTATTGACTCTTATTTATATAGTGCTAGTGTCCTAAACATAGAAGGAAAACACAGAATGTCTTAGCAGTGTGTGTATAGTCCACTGTAAATGCTACAGATTACCAGATGGTGTTCTTCAACGGAGAGGCACTAGTGGAAAAGAGTTGGTGAGAATGTTCTAGACATTACTGAGGTAGAATTGGTTTTGATGCTTTTTTTTCTTCTGACCGCCTGAATCTTAATATGAAAGAATGCTTATAAGACCATTTGATGACTAAAATTTGACTGCAGTGGGAAAATACTTCCCATAGATCTCTGTGTTAATTGCACTATATCTTCTCATTTTAGTTATTGTCATTAAATAATGGTATCATTTATTCTGATAAGTAAAAACGAAACTCCTCCCCTGTCACTGATCATGTAACCTGCAGTCTTGTTTCCCTAGGCGACTCAATAACAATGAATTCACAGTGTTGGAAGCCACAGGAATCTTTAAGAAACTTCCTCAATTACGTAAAATGTAAGTGGTTCAGAGTGGTGGTTTTCAATAGCTGTAGTGTTTTGTTGTCTTTTCCCTATGCCTTTCAGGTGAGTGATAATTCATTTTTTTTAGAAAATATTAAATAAAGCAGGAAATCTGATTTTAAATTTTTTCCCCACATATTCAAATGATGCCAATCAAAGCCTTTGTCTGTTGCTCTGATGCAGACAGCTGTTTGGCTGTGACCACAGCATGAATCCAGCCATCGCAGCGCATGGAAAATGGGCTCTGCGCTGTTGTGTAACTTCTTTGACTATTCCCCAAATCACGTTGTTATTTTCTTGAAGCACATTCATGCCAACTGTTTGTCTTTTTGCTTCATTAAACTTTCATTAGAATTAATGGCTGGTAAACTAGAGCTTGATAGCTCATCTGTGTTCCTACATGTCCACAACTCATATTTTAAGATAAGTTCATAAACTCAGCAGTTTCAACAATACTCCGTCAGCATTACATATTCCTGAGGAGGAGGGAAGAGGGACAGGACAAAGGCCACCATGCAGGGACAGGGAGCCTCTTTAGATAAGAAGGAGCCTTAACCTCCCCATGAGCTGACAAGTGCATGGACCTCAGTCAACCAGACTTTCAGTGGCCTAGCCAGCTGAACCATCTCACTCTAATATGCTATCTCCTCAGCATGTTCTGATTTCTTAGCTGTCTTCCTTTTGGGTGCTACATACTGATTCTTTTTAGCTGTATTATATTTTTGAATACAGTAATTTTTGGACAGCTGCTTTGAGCAATATTGAGAGAGGAATAAATGAAAGATCAATAAAAATCATCTTCTTTGGGGAGCCACCAGTGGTCTTTAGTGAGCAAGGAAGGAAGAAAAACAAAGAGCCTCGGCAAAGTTGTTACCCTAATGAGGACCTTGTTACTCTTTGGGCAAGCAGTGTATATTAGTTGAAAGTTTTATCTATAGTGCCAAGAGTTATCTATTTCAAAATATTATTACATAAAAAGTTTAACTGGAAATAAACCAGTAGCCATATGGATATCTGATGCTTTCTAAGCATTGACACATCCTAGTCTATTCTTCTCACCACCCTACTACTGAGATATCTTCTTTTTACCATTAATTAATCAACCATTGTAATCAGAGAAATGTCTTCCAATAATTCCTTATTAAGTCTTATGGAGCAAGTAAAGCCTATATGTAACCCTCCAGAATTTTGTACTGTAGGAGACCCTTGTAGAACATTTTGCGACATTCTGAGATGGTACATTCTGTCTTAGTATTACTGACCTTTTAGCTTCAAGGAACAGAAAGAACTCTTGCAGTGCAGTGTAATGAAATACTGGGTAATAAAAAGGTTGTGGAGATTTGTTCAGAACAAGCAAATGATCCTGATGTCTTTGTTAGAGTGGAATCACTTATGAGCTTTTGTTTCTATAATGTTTGTTTCTATAGCAATTTTAGCAACAATAAAATCACAGATATTGAGGAGGGAACATTTGAAGGAGCATCTGGGGTAAATGAAATACTTTTCACTAGTAACCGTTTGGAAAGTGTTCGGCATAAGATGTTCAAAGGATTGGAAAGCCTCAAAACTTTGTAAGTACTCTGATTTACCTTGTACTACTACTAATAGATTGGACTTTGTGGTTCAATGCAATTCTGGCAGGATGGAAGACTGTTTGTGCTACCCACAAACAGTCTCTGACTGACTCAGTCTCTGCCTCTTGTTCTCTTTATCTTAGAATAGCTGTCTGCCTGTCTGTCTGTCTGTCTGTCTGTCTCTCTCTCCCTCTCTCTCTCTCTCTCTCTCTCTCTCTCTCTCTCTCTCTCTCACACACACACACACACACACACATAGAGGCACAAATATACCAACCTTCTTTAAACACAGAGTCTCTTAAATCCAGTATTTCTGCTGTAAATATGCTGCTAACAAATGGTCAAGAAAGCTACTCCTGACCATTACTAACCCCTGATCAAAATAAATTGTTCTTGTTTTGTATAGATACGGCGTCCCTCTAAATGTTCATCCTCTTTCCTTTTCCTCAGTCATATCTACCTTATATCCCCTCTTGATCTAAGGACTCAAATTTTAGAGTGTACACCAACAATTGCAACACAATTTCTCTATTTATCTGGAGACTGCATTGTGCTGCTCCTGCCAGGTTTTGTGAAAAATGAGATACTTCTTGGTAGTCAATATTTAACTCTCTGTTGTAAGGAAAATATTCTAAGAATTGTGCCTACTGGTTCAGGGCTGGAGAAGGTGGGACAAAGAAAATTTTTAGGTCTTCAGAAGGTTTTATAGCCAGGCACTGGTGGTCCACACCTGTAATCATAACTGCTCAAGAGTCTGAGACCTGAGAATAGATGTGTGAAGCCTACCAAAACAAAAAAACGTCCTTGAGACGCTTATCTCCAATTAAACATCGAAAGATGAAAGTGGAGCTGTCTTTCAAGTGGTAAAACAACAGCTTTGAGCAAAAACATAGGGCCCAGGCCCTGAGTTCAAGTCCAAGACTCCAGCAGCAAAAAATTTAAAAGGTTTCTATGTTTGTTTGTTTTTGTTCAGTCATGTGCTTTGAACCAATAGCCTGAGTGCTGTTCCAGAGCCCTTTTGCTCAAGGCTAGTGCTTGTCCACATTGAGCTACAGCTTCATTTTCAGTTTGGGGTGGTTCATTGAAATTGAGAATCTCATAGACTTTCCTACCCTGGCTGGCTTTGATCTACAATCTTCAGATCTGAGCCTCCTGAATAGCTAGGATTACAGAGCCACTAATGCCTTGCTACAAAAAATGCAAAAAAGATTTGAAAAAAATAGCCAAGAATTAAATTGATAATAAGTGACATCTTTTTATTACTTGAATTCTCTTCAGTAAATATATATTTTTTAATTGTTTATAATTTAATTGTACAGAATCATGTTTGAAAAAATAGTGACTTTAAATGACCCCTAAGATATGTATTTAAATGTTTTTTTTCTTTCATGCATTTGTTTCTAACGCATTTATAAGATTATTTCTTAGTCGCTTTGTATGTCCTTCCCCCACAGTATAACCCCTGCTTTCACTGTATTTGATGTCAGTATAATTCGTGGAGGGGAAGGGGAAAAACAAGTCGTTTAAATAAGGATACAGGTGGACCCGTTGCAACAATGAGAAGTACACGTTGTCATGTCAAAAACGAACTTTACAACTTTGGTGTGGGGGAGAGAGGGTTGGGTGGGGGGTGAAGGAGGCTAGGAAGGGATGGGAAGGGGAAACAAAGGAGGAGGCTACAATGCTTGATAAGAAATGTACTCATTATCTTGCCCATGTAATTGTAACCCCTCTGTACAGTATTTTCACAATAAAAAATAAAAAAAATAGTAGAGAGAAAAATAAAAATCTGGAAGCTTTTGGAGGACAAGGAAGAAACTATTTGTAATCAAGAGGCGGGGAGCCCTTGGTAATACAATAGGGAGAAACCCACAAGTGTCCCTACCCCCCCCCACCCCAACTGGCTCTCTCTTGAATCCAGTTGTACCATCACAAGCAAAGCTGAACAACTGAGCCCCAGACACACAGGGTATTTCAAGTTATAGAGTAGGTTTAGCTAAACTTATCCATATCTATATGTATATATATAGCTGGTATTATCTATCTATCTATATTATATATTCATAAAATTCATGTGGGACTTTTGAGGTTGGCGCACTATAAGTTTGATCAGCAGAGTATAATTTCCCTTAGGGTGAATCACCCCTTACTAAGACATTTGCATACTTCAGCAAGTTTCTTTCATCCCTTGAGATTTCAGGATAATCTTGGTGTACTTGTGTCCTTATGGAATTTTTTCTAGCAACAGAGAATAAAGTTTTCTTCAAGACTTCCTAGGGATCCATGACTCCAACCAGATTAAGATCAAGTGTTCTTTATTATTTATGAGCAAGGAAAGAGCTGATAAGGAAGGGTATTTCACATTTTGTATTTGTTTCTTAACATGGAATGATGACTTGATACAGGAAACCATCCTTTCTTCCTATCTATGATTTAGCAAGATGCAAACGTTTTTATCTCTTATCTCTTTTCCGGCATTCTAAAATTCAAGGCAACACTTTTATTCATTTCATTCACTCTTTTATATCATGCAGTATTCTAGCAGAATAATTAGCTCACGTTTAAGAGAAAAAATGAATACATTTAATTTCAGGTATTCCGAATAAGATTTAAGGCAGCTATGTGTTTGTAGGTGGGATTTGGAGAGAGCTTTTGCAAAGTTTTGGAAGCCACACAAATCAACAGGATAGTAGAGAATTTCAAAGTGAGCCAGTACGTAAGCAAAGATGGGGAAAGGACAGCAATGTTAATTGTATTAATTAATATCAATAAAAAAAACCCTAATCAATCAGGGTGTTTTCAAGTTAAATCTATTTCAACTTCCTGGTGTGCCTCTTTTATAGGTCCTGAACTTGAAACAGTAGACAGATTTTCATACACAAAGTAATTTATGTAAGCTCTGTGGATGCTCCATCTTGTTTGCTTGCCAGGCCCTGTTTGACATTGACTCAATATCCAAGTCCCTGAGCTGCCCTCATTTACAGCAGCTATTGATTCTTTTCTCTCCTCCTTTCTATGCAACCTCAAATGCCATAGTACCCTGAATACACAAATCACAGAGCTCCAAGGACTCCAGGACTCAGCTGTAGGTGAATTAGGACATTACGCAATCATGCAAACACAAATAACATCAAAAGCCAACATTTTCCCCTCACCAGGAGATTGTAAGTCACACAGGAAGGATCACTATGCCTTTGGCAACTGAGTTTTATCATTGGTAACTCTAAGTATTTCATTCTTACAGTATGTTCTCCAACACATAGCATTTCCTGGTGGCTGAAGAACATTTAAAAAATAGTAAAGAAAATACTATGTATTTGCAAAGAGGGATTGTTCTTTTGATTCTCAGATATGCAAAATGGATTGCCCAAGCCTCTGTCTCCATACATGTCCTTTTCTTTCCCTCAGGATGTTGAGAAGTAATCGCATAAGCTGTGTTGGGAATGACAGCTTTATAGGACTCAGTTCTGTACGTTTGCTTTCTTTGTATGATAATCAAATTACTACAATTGCACCAGGGGCGTTTGACACACTCCATTCCTTATCTACTCTGTAAGTATGAAAAACAGTCCTTATGTCTTGCTTTAGCCAATGTATTACATTCTTCATATATATTAATAGCATCCTGATGCATTATTGGACATTACATAAAAACATGAACAAGGATCTAGGTATTATAAATGGACCTATTGGATTTTTTTGTTAAATTTTAGCCTTAGTTTTTTTTTTTAAATGTAACTTACTGTCTTACATTAAAGTTAGCAAATTATTTTTCAGTACATCCTTTTTATAGTAATAGGGTCAATGATATCACTTAATTTGTAAATGTTAAAATTTTTACTATGTGACAGTGTTGCAAAAAATGAAATGGTATAGCTTTCCAGAATTCTCACATTGAGGTATTTTTAGTATGAGTATCACAAAAATAGAATTGACAAGGTCATTGCCAGCAAGAGGATCATTCACAATGACAGTGACACTGACAATGAGACGAGTCAGTCAACAATAGAAATGGTTTACTAGTGGACATTCATGGGGAAATATTGAAGACAAAGTTGTCTGTCCAAGAGATATTTTATATAGACAATTTGAAAATAAAGAGTCTAGTGGGTCTATAGAACTCAGAAGGTATTTATAAACAATATGTATTTCTGGGCTCTTGTATATCAATGTCCATGAAATGATAAAGGTTATAACTTATAACTTCCTAGTAATGAGGGCATCAAATCTATCTGTCTGTCTGTCTATCTAGCTATCTATATTTAACACTATACTAATCTAACTCAATAGGAGTGGCATTGGGTATAAAGATAATTAGAGTAAAAAATAAAAAGCCTGTTTAACACACTTCAAGTCATTGAAGAAATAACCTGAGGAAAGCAGCCATCAATCAGTAAACTACTTAATCTTTTTTCCACATAGACTGTGACATTTTACATGGAGTGACTAATTTGTGCATATTAGAGTTGGCATGTTTATAAATAATAGGATTGTCAATAGGTTTGTGCTGTAGTGGTGAGATGCCAAAAGTATTGAGATTTGTAGAAGTAAATTCATTTTTATAACTGGCATTTAATCAACTCAGCTGTCAGTTCAGATAGGAAACCTATTCTCTGGAGCAAATAAGAGACAGGAATTGTGCAGTGACAAATTAATGAAATAGTGATGTCAGGTTAAACTCAATAATATAAGGTAATCAGCCTTCATCTTTATATTAAATTACTGCATTATCAGTGCAGGAAAGTTTGACAGTAAGTCAGATTTCTGACAAGTTTCAATTATTTCTCAATGAGGTATCTCCCAGGATCCACTACATAAACACTAAATTGCTGCCTTCACATTATTTTTTGCATGAAATTATTTGAAGAACTCTTTTATGTGAAAGTATTGATTGTTACCAAGTTCCAGACATAAATATTTTAGAAAAAAATGCATAGCATATGTTGCGTGAGATTGAGCATGAATAGAGGGACAGGAATACAGAGATGAAGAAGGAATCATTCCAAAAGAAATTGTGTGGGGAAAAAATGTCACCTAGGGTTTTCAAAAGTAACCAAATAAAGCCCTGAACTAAACTGTGCATTGTTTGCATATGGTGCTTAGAAACCTCTTGGCCAATCCTTTTAACTGTAACTGCTACCTGGCTTGGTTGGGAGAGTGGCTCAGGAAGAAAAGGATTGTAACCGGAAATCCTCGCTGTCAAAAGCCATACTTCCTCAAAGAAATCCCAATCCAGGATGTGGCCATTCAGGATTTCACTTGTGATGATGGTAAGCTAAACTTGAGATGTTTCTTTGGCCATCAGGCATTTGTCCAAAAGTCTGTGCTACTGTTGCTCATACAAACAATCTAGCATGCTGTCTCTCCTTCCCTATGCCATCTCCTTACTTTCTCATTCTTGGCTTTGTTGTTTGTTTCATTTTAGCATCAGGGCACTTCTTTGTTAAATTGTATTTTTCTTATCTTTAAGTATTTGTACAAAGGAGTTGCTATTCAACACTTCTGCTGATGAATACAATGTGTCTTGATCAGTGTCTACCATTTTATCCTTCTCCCCCATCTCTCCCAACCCAAGCCCTTCTCTCAGTTTTCTTCATTTTGTAGAATAGGCATTCTCTACCTGCTCTTCCTCCTCTCTCTTCATTCCTCTACCTCCCACTCTTTAACCCTACCCCCAAGATTTCATGTACCAGTTTGCTGGTTTTTATTTTATGAAGACAGTCAGTCAGTCTTTGTGACTCATAGTTAGAATCTAATTTGATGTGTGTTTCTGAATGTTTCAGATGAATTTTTCTGATTCCCAGTTTGTAATCAAAAGTATTTATATAACTTCAGTTTGGCTTTCCTTTATTTTTATTTTCAGCAGTTTTTGGAGAAAAATACAAGTTTCAAATAAGTAAAGTGACTGTTTAATAGACTTTTTAGTAAAAATGACAAAAGTAACTTTTCACTTTAATTTTTTTTATTATCAAGGAGTTGTACAAAATGGTTTCAATTCAACATGTCAGTTTAGGAGTACAAAAGCATCAGTCGCCTCCTCCTTCCCCCATCTGTCCCAATCTCCCGGTTTTCACAGTTTAATATTTTCTCTCCATCAATGAATTTGATTTCCATAAGAGCCTTATTAGTAGGTAGAGTCTGTCCTGTTATCATTGCTTGAGAGCAGAGAGCTAATTAATTTGGGCCCTATATATTTAAGTATAAAATTTTATTATATTGAGGGTGGTACTATATTTGGCAGTATCATTTTTTAAACTCAGGACTCACCCATCATGCTAGGTCGACACTCTCCCACTGGGCCATGCCTCCAGCCCTATTTTTCACTTGTTATTTTTAGGGCAGTGTCTCCCTTCCCCCCTGGCTGCCCATAGACTACTCTCTGCTTACTCTAGGCTTCCTATAGTTGCTGGGAATATAGGTGTACGCTGGTACCACGTAACTTCTTTGAAGATGGAGTCTCATGGATTTATAGCCCTGGCTGCCCTGGAAGAATGATCCTTCTTATTCCAGTTTTCCATGTAGTTTGGGATGACAGACACACATCACTGCGTGTACATATAGGTTGAGAAGGACGTCTCACAAGCTTTTCAGCCAAGGCAATCCTTGAATTGCAGTCTCTACACATAGCTGGGCTCATAGGCCTGAACCATGAGTACTTGGATTAAATCCTGTCTATTAAATGAGATTTATGCATGCAATTTTTGCTTAACATTTTAAGTTAATACGGTTCTTTATGTCTCTTCACATCTATTCCTTAATATTTTCTATAACTTATTTTACATACACAAATTCTAAATGAAAATGTATTTTAAGTACCTGGACAAATTATTCACTATTACAATTATATTGGTAATAGAAATTGTAAATTATTTTCTGAATTCCTATCCCCAGAGGGTCTGAAAACTCAAGGTATGGTGTCAACATTTTATTAACTGTAAGTGATCAAGAATTAACACTTGTTTTTGCTAACCTAATAACATAAAATCCCTTCTTGATATACCGCAAACCCACTGTTTTCCTATGTTTCCTCTGGCAATTCAGGAAACGATGACAATAGTTGCTCTCCACTGTCTCGCTGTCCTGTGGAATGTACCTGCTTGGATACTGTTGTCCGATGTAGCAACAAGGGCTTAAAGATCTTGCCAAAAGGAATTCCAAGAGATGTCACAGAGTTGTAAGTACCAGTTTTTCCCTTTCCTAGACAGTTCCTATACCAAAGGAATGGAGATGCACCAAAAATCATTAGAATACTGCTTGCAAATTTAGATCTGGTTAATAATCACCACATAAAAGTGTAGACCTGTAATGCAAAACTCAATCCAAGGACTCTCACAAATTGCTAGGGGAATGTTTTCATTTTTTTAAAATTTTCCATGGGACCATTTCTTAGTACCTTTGAGGTACAGCATGGCAAGTAGCATTGCAAAATATTAGGCAGCCTTCGCTTACTTGCCCATGTCGCTTTTTTTCTTTAATGTAGCATTTTTAAGACCCATAGGGTCAATCAAATACACCTTGGGAAATGATGCATAGTTAATTTATTACAGGGGCTACAATATCCCACATAGTTAGTCTTTTATTTTTGGTTTTTGGTTTTTTTGTGGGGTTTTTTTGCCCCTACCTTTGAACTGCAGTCACATGCTCACTCAGTTCCTGTTAGTACCATTCACTCCACTTAATTAACTAAGCACTGCTTTATGTGCATGTAATTCAATATTTAATTACTCTCCTTACATCAGAAGATTATATGGGCATCTTAACCTTCCTCTATTGGAAGACTGGATTAGATGTGTGTACATTATACAAAGTCTTGATTACACAAATAGCCCCAGTGAGAAGCATAGCACTCAGGTTGTCTCTGATGCTAAATTACTGCTTTTACCATTTTACTTGGCCTGTGCCTTGGTCCCTTTGCCAGAGTCCTATCAGTTTAGTTTACCCTATTTATATTATCTATATTCTATATATGTATTCTGCCATTTGAGTCTTCAGTCTATTTACTAAAAACATTGTACCAAAACAACTATGTTTATCACAGCATTAGTCACCAAAGCTAAGATATGGAACCAACCCAGATGCCCCTAAGTAGGTAAATGGATCAAGAAAATGTGGTATATATACACAATGGAATTCTATGCCTCCATCAGAAAGAATGACATTGCCCCAATTGTTAGGAAATGGAAAGACCTGGAAAAAATTATATTAAGTGAAGTAAGCCAGACCCAAAGAAACATAGGTCCCATGGTTTTCCTTATTGGCAATAATTAGTATATATCTAGGATAATCTTATCAGATGAGCAGAATAGCTCAATAACTATGATGCTAAGTGAAATGAACTCCAAGACATGGACACAGAGGTTTTTCTTCGTAGTTGTTGTTTTTTAATGTACTACGTGATTTTTTGTTTCTTTTATATGTTCTTCCCCCTATGGTTTATCCCCTGTTGTCACTGTATTTGATTTGGATATAGTTATGTTTATTTGAATTACAGAAGAGAAAGGGAACAGCAGAATAGTGAGACAAAGGACAAGGGGAACCAAGGCAATAGCAATATTCACAAGACAACATGTTGGAAATGATCTGTACAACTTGAGGAGGGGGTTGGAGGGGAGGGAAATAGGAGAAAAATGAGGAAAGGGTAACAAGTTTGACAAGAAATGTGCTTATTACCTTACTTACATCACTGTAACCCCTCCATGCATCACCTTGACAATTACAAAAGCAATTGAAAAATAGGATTGTTTTTCTCTAAAATAAGTTGTTACACAGATCAGAATACTAACTCATCTTTTGGAATTCAAGTTTCACCTCCCAGAGAGGACTTACCAAGTCAGCAAGATCCCTCTTGCCAGTGATATGTGTGTGTGAGTGTGTGTGTGTGTGTGTGTGTGTGTGTGTGTACACACATATATGCATATAGTAGAAAACATCCATGTGTGTATTATATTAAATTATTAAAGAATTTGGCTAAAAATAAGGATGTGGTGGTGAACAAAATTGAGCAAATGGTATCCATTATTTTTTATTGGTTCCATATAAAATCCCCCTTAGATTGTCCTACATACAGACTTCATAGAACAATATTCTGGATCTTTCTGTTCTTCTGTTATGACATTGGAAGAAAAGACACTGCTAAAGTATATGGAACAATGCTTCCCTCTACTGGAAGCAAGGAAAACATAGAGAGCAGAAAGAAGGAAGAAGAGTCATAACATTTGAGACCTCAAGAGTCATAAGATAGCTCCTGTCTTAATCACATTTTAATTGCATATTTTGTCAACTTGTGCTTTGACGTAACTATTAGTCATTTTAAAGTATTAGAAATGGATGACTGACTATGTTAGGCATCTTCTCAGTGACTTCTATATCTAGGGAAAAGTCTAATTTCAACCAGAAATCTCAAAATTGACTCATACAATAGGATAGGAGAGACCATATGCACAATGTGTCAGAATTATTTTGCAGCTCCTCTTATGCCCAGATGGACCAAGTTGATAGATACTCATCTCCCTCTCACTGTCTATATTTGGGAAAGAAAACCTTGGAGAGGAGCTAAATATCCTTTTTGTGTGTGACATCTTAGGCAAGACTTTTTATTTTGTTCTTCCATTTAGCAGATTCTTTTCATGTATTGTCCATTTTCCAATTATTCTGATTATAAGAAAGAGAATATATATAGACATATATGGCTCTTGTTTTTCAGATATATGACATTTGTGTACTTGTTAAGTGTTATGATTATAGGTGAAACCTCTAAATATATTATCACCAAGAAAATAAATGATTAAAAAACATTTTAATTGCATTCAAATATCTACTTAAATCTTACTTATTGAGCTAGTGCTACGTACACATGCAGGTAAAAGCATGGACATCATTACTGTAGTTAGATTATCTTAGTAGTTAGTTAATTTCATGCTATTATTTTTTTGCTGCACAGAGTAAACTGGAGGGCAATTAAAAATACAGTTTGTTGAGTGAAATTTCTTTTTGCCACAAAAATATCTAGATGCTTGCCTTGCTTTCCTAAATAATTCAAAACAGTTTAGACTTACCAATCTATCCTAGATTTTATGGTGTAGCACATATGACCCCCAAATATTCCTCTGGATGAACAACTTCTTTGCTCTTTTCTTTTGTAAAATAATGATCTCAGCTTGAATTATGACATATATCTGCCATGTATTTTCTTGTGTTGGTTGAAAATAAAATAATACTGTTCCATTGTTTTATATCTATTTAACCTTACTTTATAAAATCATGTTGTTTCCTTGTTTTTAGGTATCTGGATGGTAACCAATTTACACTGGTCCCGAAGGAACTCTCTAACTACAAGCACTTAACACTTATGTGAGTGATGTATTTTTGTATCTTTATTCTACTTCATAAAGGAGGAAATATCAAAGAACTCAGGATTTGGTGAAGCTTTGAGATAATATCAATCCTTTATGGCTAGGTGCTCTCCTCTTAGAGCATGGTGGTTCTAAACCATTATATCTATTTAATACCAATATGTGATATAATTAAATCATATATTCATTCATTTGTCAAATCTGAGTGTGTGTACTAGTGAGTTTCTGTATCTGCAAGGATAACAAATGTGGGTTTGATGGGACTTTCCAGAGAAATGTTTTATGTCTCATCCATAAAAATGTAGTTTCTGCATGGGATATCTCCAAGAATATTCTAAGTCTTGCAGAGACAAGATCAGAGGCAAGGAGACCCCTCCCCTTCACAGATCCCCCTTTTAAGCAATACCTGCCATGGTGCCCATATTCCCCTGGCTAGAACAAGACACGAGGTCACTTCTCATTTCAACAGGGAGAGTTGTAAATGAAACATTGTACACATGACGATCTGCCTGGATACAGTCCAGAGTTGCTGTTGTTTTCTGATACTAGTCCAGTGCTGCAATTCTACCAGGACTATGTCTTTCTACAGATCACTAATATTTGTATTTTGGTTAATAGTGAACTCCATATCTTTCTTTTTCCTTTTAGAGATTTAAGCAACAACCGAATAAGCACTCTTTCGAATCAAAGCTTCAGCAACATGACCCAGCTTCTCACCTTGTAAGTGTGAAAGTGTGATTCAGAGAATTCATTAATTTATGGTGCAAAAATGTATTGACTAGATACTGATCATTTCTGGTAAAGAAGGTAGTCTCTGGCCAAAAGGAATATAAATTCCATTGAGAAAAACATGCAAGACCTCAATGAAGAAGCAGAGGGAACCATCACAGAAAGAATGAGTGAATGATGAGATTTGTGGCAAATTGGGGAGTAAACCTGAAGACAAGATTTGAAGCATTACATCAGGGAATGGCAGGAGCAAATTAGACAGAGAGAAACATTCTCAGTTGTATTTAGAAAATATATGTGTGATATTAGGGAGAATACTTCAAGAATTAAAAATATGTTGTGTATGTATAGTCTCAATTTGTAGGATGCTCAAGTAATCAATTTCTTAACTGCTTTATTGTTGAAATGACATGTGGGCATTATTCCATTGCTGAATAAAATGAACTGACATGTGTGTGCTTTCAGAATTCTTAGTTACAACCGGCTGAGATGTATTCCTTCCCGAACATTTGATGGATTAAAGTCTCTTCGATTACTGTAAGTATCTTGTGTCCAACAAAATTCCTCTCTTGTCAAGTTTTGAGTTGTCTTTTCAGAGCCTGGGTATTTGGAAATGAATAAGGTGTCATTGTTCAGCTACTTTGATGTGGACAATAGGACCTCTATTGTGACACTTGTTGCTGTTACAGTCATTTATTTGCTAATATATTATGTTGAAACATATGCTTTATGTATCTCCAGTTACTATTTTTTAAGAAAGCCTAATTCTTTAGAAATCACTTAGAATATGAATATATTTTTAGTGTGGAAATATACTTATTCAATATACCCTTCCTGTCTACCCATAATTTATATAACTTTTAAAAGCTGTATATAATATATTTTATTGTTCTGCTACTGGCTTTTACTATGATTATTGTGCAGTGCACCAACAGGGGCTTGAACTCAGGATCTCACACTCTTACTCATCTTTCTGGCTCATTGCTAGAGCTCTGCCATTTGGGCCACACTTCCAATACAACAATTGCCTAGCTAATGAGAGGTGGAGTCTCACAAGCTTTTCTGTCTAAGCCAGGTTCAAAGCTTGATCCTGCAGAAGAAAATCTGAATAGCTAGGCCTATGGCCTGCATCACCATTGTTCAACAGCCTGGAGCTATTTTGTCATAACATGTGCTTTAGAAGGTTTCTATTCTATTGTATCTAGATATTTACCTATTAAACTGTACAAATATTCTATAGGTTGGAGTAGACATTGCTGAGGTAAAAACCCCGTGTTTGCTACTATTTGTATTGATTTCAAATTCATTATTCTGTGCATAATTCAAATTTACTTCTTCTACATTCATCTTGGGCAAATCAGCATTGACTTTAACGGGGAGGATGCCAAAAATGATAGTCAAGTTCTCTCCTAAACAAGATTTTGTCATTTTAACAATAATTTATTCTTCATCTGCAATGGTGTAAAAATACCTTCCTGAAAACATTCTAAGAAACATTGAATTCTGATTCTTTTACTTCTCTCTCCATGTGAGAAATTGAAAATTGTCCTTCCTGTTTGGACATGCATTACTAATATGCATTTGAATATATATATTTTTGGGGGGGGGGGGTCTGATCGTGGGGCCTGTCCCTCAGCTCTTCAGCTCAAGGCTAGCGCCCTACCATTTGAGCTGCAGCACCACTTCCGGCTTTTTTCTTTTTGCTTATGTGGTGCTGAGGAATCGAACCCAGGGCCTCATGTATGCAGGGTAAGCACTCTACCACCTTCCCAGTCCCGCATTTGAATATATTTAATTTGTTTATTGAACATTTGCACTTGTTATTCTAATAAAGGCTAATTATCATTTTCTCATCTATTAAACATTTTATCTTTTTAATATTAATACAGATATCTTTATGCATTTATTACATGTCATAATATTTTGATAGAAGATTATCCTAATGTGTTAAAAGGTTTTGAACATTTTATATTCTTTTCCTTAAATATAATCTTTTGTCACATGGATTTTTGTTATTTTTGTCAAAAATGTGCTACTCTGCCTGAGAGCTGGTGGTTCATGTTATAATCCTACTGAGGCTGAGATCTGAGGGTTGTGGTTCATAGCCAGACCTAGTAGAAAAGACTGTGAGATTCATCTCTAATTATCCACCAAAAGCCAGAAGTAGACCTGAGGCTCAAATGGTAGATTTCTATCTTTGAGCAAAATAAAAAGCTGAAGGATAGTGCCTCAGATCTGAGTTCAAGTCTCAGGAATGGCACCAAAAAATACTAAAACAGCTACTCTTTTTCTTTGTGGTTTCTGGGTTTATGTCATGCTTTTGAAGGCTTTTCCATCTTCTGCTTATACAAAACAGCAAATTTCCTTTTAATAGACTGTTAATTTTATTCTTATACTTAAGTCTTCCATCTGGAATTTACTTTGTAAGGTCTTGTAAGATATAAAGTACTTTTCTGTCATCAAGTCTGTTAATGAGTGAACCAACCATCCTTTTCTTCATTGACTTTAAAATGCTTTATATAAGCTATTCATTCATGTGTGAGAATTCTTCTAAACTGCATGAAATATAGGAAGCTTAATTTTGCTTTTGCTTACTTGTAGATCTTTACATGGAAATGATATTTCTGTCGTCCCTGAAGGTGCTTTCAATGATCTTTCTGCATTATCACACCTGTGAGTATTTAGCTCTGTGGATCTAGATCCTGACCTCTCTATAAAGAGAGTTTTGAACAGCTTCTTATAGCTTCTATTCTAATTTATGAGCTCTGATTGGTTTCATCTCCAAAAAGTGAAAAAGTGAATATTTCAACCTAGATGCCATGCCCTTATGCCAAAACAGTTTTAATTTAATCTTTCAGCTTTTACTTTCCATTAGCTGACGGTTTGGGTTTTTTTTTTTTTTTTTTTTTTTTTAGTTAAAAGTGTATCTTCAGCGAAAATGCCTCCCCCACCTTACAGACCTTTTTCTCATTTTTTGGTTCTAGCATATTCAGCCCCCCTTGAATTCGGTCTGGCCCAACCAGACTTTTCCAAGTCACAACCAAAGTGTTACTCCTGTATGGTCTACCCTGAGTTCTTCAAACTAGATTCATTTGTCAAGCAAAATGTATTCATTATGGATAATGACACCATGCACCATTATGCTTTTCATACTTCAGGACTCTGTAGTCTTCTAGTGGAAGGTGTACCAATCTTCGTAGTTGATGTTAACTATTGACCCTTTGTATTTTCCCTCACTGAAGCCTCGTTGTACCTCCAAAGTTCTTGGAAGTGCAATGGAACTATTCATTTTTTTTCCTACTGACTAATTATTCACGGGGAACAAATTTTTTTTATTCTGTTGCCACCAGTCATAACGTAAAGACCATGGCAAACCTAGAAGGAAGTTCAGGGAACTGTTGTAAGATCCATTTCCTCCTTGTTTCACGTGCTTACAATTATCCACTTCTGCATAAATGTCAGTCAGTTTGTGCCTAAACAAAACTCACAAACTTTAATAAGGAAAGAAATATAGACAATTTACAGAAGGGAATGGTTGGAGAATATTGTAACACTTCTTGTGAAATATGTTAGTGCAATAAGAGGTCTTCATAATTAAAGTCTTATTCATGATTCGGTCCATGGGAGCTTGCAATGGACTGACTTCTCAGCAAAGAAGTGGATTGTACATCCAATACAAATTACGTTTCTACAAGTATAAAGAGATCTTATAAAGCTCATAACTTAATGTAATGCGAGTTTTCGTAAACCCCTCAACTGCACATCATTCAGGAAAAGGAGAATTCCCACTGTCTCAACCTTCTGCTTAATTATTATTATTTACCACGAGTAAATCTATAGAGATCTACTGAGAATCACTTTGAATTCTGTTCCCTTAGGAAATAACAATGCTTCCATACCTGTGTTGTGTGTGTGTATGTGTGCTTTTGTGGTGTTGTTTTTCCAGAGCAATTGGAGCCAACCCTCTTTACTGTGATTGTAACATGCAGTGGTTATCCGACTGGGTAAAGTCGGAATATAAGGAACCTGGAATTGCTCGCTGTGCTGGTCCTGGAGAAATGGCAGATAAATTGTTACTTACAACTCCCTCCAAGAAATTTACCTGTCAAGGTATAGCTTTGAATTATTTATGCTTTTTGTTTGTCTTTCAGAAATATTACATTTCAATATCCTCTTTTAAGAATCACAAGAGGAATTATCAAAGAAAACACAAGCACAACCATATGCTGCTAGACTTTCATGGTCACCATAAAAAGCACTGAAAACATTTGCTTTTTCTATACTTCTGCTTAAGAAAATAGACATTGCAATTACTGAAGATGGCCAATTAAGGAAGTAACCTTTTCAAATAATTCTTAGAAATAGCCTGTTGGAAATGGATTACACTTCTTGAAATGGAGGGAGAGCGGCAGATAACTTCTTTCATAGCCTCTAACAAGTGAAATCTTTTGCTTTTGCCTTGTCCAAATCTGCCACTTGCTGTAGGGATTCCAGGGCCCTGTGGTTTCATAATACCAGGTAAGGGAAACGGGCCCTCCTGGGTGTTACAGCCAAACCTTCCGACTTGCCTCTTGTGCTGCTGACCTTCCCATGTTCCCTTTTCTGGCTTGCTCACATCCCTTCTTCTTCCCTGTCATAGCTTTGTAAGTTCTAAATGGTGATTATGTGGTAAATATTATTATCTTCTCTTATTGGGATATATGCAAATCAATCTGAATAAGATAAATGTTTAACAAAATAAGCAAGATTTTATTTCTGGAAGAAGAAATAAAAATAACCATTAACTAAAATTCCTACAGATGATCTCTACTGAACTTGTTTGGTGTATTTTGCCATTTAGGGCAATCAAACGTATGAATTTAGAACCCTTACCCCTGAGAAATGAGTTTGCATTACTCCTAAGTGGTACATTTTAAGAAAGATGTTCAGAATAATTGGAAAGAGGAAAGACCCTCTCGAAATTTGTAAATCCACAATCAAGAAATGATGATTAAGCATATTTTCCGTGTAGAAGTAAATCTTAAGTATTGGATTGCACAGACAAGTTTATGGTGGGATCACCCTTCCATGACTTCTGAACCTAGCTGAGGAAAGCAACTTTCATCACCAAAACATTTTTGTAGGAAAAACATCTCTAAGTAGGTAACACTACACAGTGGCTCACAGCATGAGCTCTAAAACCCCATTCTGGTAGGTTATATCCTAGTTGTATTTTTCCATTACATAGAAACTCTAGTTTAACGACTTAGTCAACCTGTGTCTCAGTCTGAGTCCAGTGGCCAGTTCGTGCCTGTAACCCTCACTATTCAGAAGGCAGAGATCAGAGGATGCAGATTTAAAGCCTACCTGCACAGGAAAATGCATGAGACTCATATTTCCAGTTAACAACCAAACACTCAGAAGTAGGGCTATGTATGGCTTGAGTGGTAGAGCACCAGCCTTGAGTGAAAAGGCTAAGCCCTAAATTCAAGCCCCAGGACCAGTACAGAACACTGAAACAAAAAATAAATAATTAATATGTACAGAGTATTGCTACAGACAGGGTAAGCACTAAATATATGTCAACAAGTAACAGTGCTAATGTTTTGAAACTTCACATTTTCATTTTTTTAAAAAAAAAGCAAACACATCAAACAGTACCAAAAATGGGGGTGGGAAACACTCCACGATTTCATAATTAAAGAAGGTATTTTCAAAATTAGGAATCCCCAAACATTATTAAATCAGCATCTATTGCTTTGTTCAGAAGGTTAAATAGTTGTAAAAAGTATCATAAGTATCAGCACATTTTTAATATTTACGCTTTTAAAATGAAACTTCTGTTTTTCTCTTAAATGTGTTTGGTGAAATTAAATATGAGTTAATTTTTAAAGCAAGATCTCTAGCTCAGCCCTTGTGGCTCTAGCCTATAATCCTAGCTACTCCAGAGGTTGAGATCCAGGGGATCATAGTTTGAAGCCAGCCCGGGAACAATAGTCCTCCTTGAGACTCCACCTCCAAAATAACTAGCAAAAAGCCAAGCTGCAGGTGTGGCTTAAGTAGTGGTATTTCCAGCTGAGATAGCGCAAAGCCTTAAAGTTTGAACTCTAGTACTGGGGGGAAAAATAAATCCCTATATTATTTTACATTTTTCTCTAAATTAAATTAGCCATTCATACCAGTATATTATCAATTGAAAGATTATAATCATTAATCTATACTTTGATTGTTTATTGGATACTGAAGGTAAAACTTTATTGTAATGCCCTTGAGTGGTATGGTCCTTGACCATAAGGACCTTTATAAAGAATATGCATTTATAGTTTATTTTTTGTAACCCAAGGCTTTCCTGGGGCAGTGCCCTATGATAAGGGTCTGCTGGGCTGAGAGTTATACGATTTTTTCTGTTATAAAGTGAGGGAGAGATAATTGTCAAAGAACCATGAAGTATTATTTTTACTCATACATATTAGCTGGCCACTTCTGTGGAGGAATGAGAAATTGCAAACTGGTTGTGTTATATCCCTGTGCCCAGAGAAACACATGTTCATGAAGAATCCCGATGCTTACTTTTATTTCTTAAATGTACATTCCTTGGATAAATTTCTATTTGTCTGAGATAATTCTGGAAAAGAATTATAATGGTATATATGTAATAGTGTACATATACATACCATGCATGCATGTGTGTTTAATGCAAGGTTTATCTCACTAAACTGTCTGCTTTCTTTTTTTCATTTAACAATTATTATCTCACATACTTAGTACACCAGAAATGAGTAAACACGGTTGGCAAGAAAACTAGTCATTTTAGTCCTAGTCAGTACAACTTAGTAGAGAAGGAAATGTCCTCTGTATTACCAGCCAATATGACGGCCACTGGCCACAGTTGGCTATTGAGCACTTATCACACAGCTAATGTGACTCAGGAGGTTGTTTCTCTGTCTGTTCATTTCATCTCACTTAAATATAAGTTGAAATATTGGTACATGACCCCCGGCTATCATGCTGTATAGCACCATGATTGAAAGATTTCAGAGGAAGCACTATCTCCAAGGAGATGGCTGTGAGCATTTTATGGTGTCTCATTGGCTGTTCAGAGAAACTTGAAGATGGTGTGCCAGGTGGGCAGATCTATAGAAACAGAGATGTACTTTAGAAAATTCTGTGCCTTTTCCAGGGCCACCAGGAGACAGCAGATTTTAGACTTGTTAACTAACAGATGACAGAAGGCCCAAGATCTATCAAGTGAACTTTGGCAGTTTGAATTTACATTTATAAAATATCAATCAAATCAATATCTATAGTTGAAGTCATACCTTAAATTAGAGAGTCACTATGTAAGCCAGACAGCAAGCATGGGAGACATTCAATACTCAACACATGCAGTGCAATTGCATGGAGAAGACTAGGCTTTATTCCATTTTTGTATACCTTAATAAATTTAAAATGATGGAAAACACTGAAACTCATAGTGCTTTCTTTCCTCTATCTCAGCATTTGTCAAAACATTGTGACTCTTCAGTGCCTTATTAATTCTCTGCTAGTTCAAGATTTATGACAGGGAGCACTGGATTTACTGCCAATACTGCTACTGCTACTGATGGTGGGCGTAACAGCAACAATAACAATAATTGCTCACTGCTTTTTTGGAATGCTTTGCATTGTACTGAGATATATTTCTATCTTTTAATCTGTACCTTATTGCTGCATAAGGGCTATTTCTAATTTTTAAAGTTAACAGATGCAAATATTGCACTTGGATCAATTAAGTAACGTGTATAATATTATTATTCAGCTTCTTGGTAAAGGAGCCATAATTGATCCCTGCATTTCTTATTCCAGAACTTGCTAGTAAATTTTACTTTATAAATTTTAATCACAAGATTCTTAAATCATCAGAATGGATGACTACAGCCTTACCGTGGCAGATACCGAGAAAAGGAAAGTTTGAATTACCCGAGTATCTTTTAACAGAAATGCTTGCCCATAATAAACAGATGGTAGGCAGCAAAGCATTGTAACCTATTAATTACAATAAATCACTCAAGGAACTTTGCTGGGCCTTCTCTTGAGCACATGTTTTCTTTGGTTGAAACTATATACTAATATGTTTTAAAAAAAACTTTAATTGTTTTTTATATTTAAATTTAGCTGTTCTCATAATTATACCAGTTGCATATTTTTATTTTACTCATGAGAATCTTGTAAACACAAGCCCCACTCTTAAATAAAGTTGTCTATAATTTCAGGTTATATCAGGAAGGTAAATATTCTTTTATGTTTACATAGCTGTATTCAAATATAACTTACATGTTTTTTACAAAATTAAACATTATTAATTTGAATGGTTAAATATGTTAATAAAACCTATCTCCATTTTTTCATGTTTTTTTCCTTATGATACAAACTCATATAGCTGATGTGGAACAAATACAATGATGACAGCACATATAATTAACACCCAAGTGAGAGCATTCTTTAGTAGGAAGTAGTCATGATATGTCTTTATAACATAAATATCCTATTCTCATTTTTTTATTATCAGATGATATTAGAGTAATCAAGCACTCTACAATTAAAAAAACTAGTTTTTTTGGTCTTTTTCAAGTTCTCAATGAGAAAACTAAAATGGGTCATGGAACATGATTGATTTCTAGTACTCTCTTTAAAGGTCCTGGTTTAGGAAGATTCAGCTATATGGCAATTGGATTGTTCCATTTTTTGATGGCCATTCATTTAACCACTTCAATGTGCTAATGAATGTACACTCAATTAGAAATGAACTTCTGTTCCCCTTTCATTATATAAATATTATTGAAGTTCCTATTATATGCCAGGAACAGCTACAAGTGTGAAAATGGCATACATGCTAATTACCCTTATCCTCATGGGGCTTATAGTTTACTAATCCATTTAGTAAAATAGGCCATTGTAAAAAAAAAAGTTGGTGAAGAGACAATTATATCAAACAATTATGGAGTATTTGGTCTGGGGGCGGGGGTTACAGGAGATTCTCAGAGGGAGCCAATGGGACCTGACAGTGGAGCACTTAAGAAAAAATGGGGACCCACATAGGAATATGTCTGGCAAGAATGAGGGAGGAGATGCTTCTGAAGGTTTATCCCTTCAACCATAAAAGCCAGTTCAAGGGTCAAGGAAACGTGACCATCTTTTTAAGTAATTAACGTTACGTTTCTCTCTGCTCTTTTCCCCTTTATTTTCTAGCTAAAAATTCTGTAAAAACTGGAATTCCCCATCTCTCAGGAATGACATGGAAGTATTACTTATCTTCTTAGCAAGAGAAATACCTTCCTTTTGGGAAGAGATTCTGACAAGCTAGACCGAGGACTTTTATTTTGTGTCACATGGTTGATTAATACTGTCTTAGTAAATCAACTGAGTATGAAGATAATTACATAACAGTCTAGAAGAGAAGGAGAAAAACTATGATGCAGTGGGTGACGTTGTGCAAGATGCATTTTAATCATAAATTGACATACTGAATTAAAACCCCATTGTAAAACTACTTAAGGATTAATAATAGTAATAATTTGGAGGCTATGATGTGCTCACTGGCTAAAGAAGAAAATGAGCTTATATATATATATATATAATTATTTATCAAAAGCATCATTCACATAAAATAACAAACAGCCACCTTTCATTGTACTTTAAAACACTTAACATGGAGAACATGTTTTGTCCAGGAATATTTCATATTCATATTCTCTCTGATAACGATAACCTATAAATGGGTATTGTTTCCCATTTTTATTCCAAAAGTTCCTTTACTGGCCTCAGATTTGTTATACAACAAATGACTAGGCTTAATGATTCCACAGGAGTTATACTTGGCCTTTGTGTTTTTGTTTAGCAATTTATGCAAGGCAAATTTAGAGGATAGTTAGTCATGTCATCTGGCAACTATTTTCAGCTATAAACTAAAATGAAAAGGGCACTTCCAATCTGCCAACTTCAATGGTTTCTTTTTAGAGATCCTTAGTTACCCTTTTGTCTTAGGGGTGGATTGCCTTCTCTTCTCTATACATTCTCCTTCCTTCTTCATTCTTTTTGCTGACATCACTTTCTTTTTGCTCACTCTTTAATGTCAACATATATTGGGTTTTTACCTAAATCCTATTAAATTCCTGATTGATTTTAGCATGTGATCTCAAATACCTTCCTATCCATGATTTTCCTTCTGAGCTTCAAATTCCTGTTATGATTCACTTATATTTCACCCCCTAAACAGCTTACAGATCCTCAGAACACATATTCTGAAGCATACCTTCTCATTCCTCATGTTCTTCCTTTAATTGATACCTGCATGTCTTTTCTGTTTTTCCAGAAACACAGACATTTCACTTGGTTTTAATCCCTGGAAACTTATCCTAGTTGCTGGCAATAAGTATATCCTCCATAACTATTTGATAAATGAACAATTTGATGAGGGAATGTTAATATACCTTTGATATTAAAAGCCAAGAAATTCAGTAATAGAAAGTGGAACACAAAATCACTGGTTTTGAATTAAAGACTCCATTTGCTTCATTACATCTGACCTAAAATATTCTTGATTTTTCTTGAGTTAACATTGAAGTACCTCTGACTTTATATAGGGGCAGAATTAGAGGATTTTCTTATTGGAGTCATGTTTCCAATGGATGCTAGAATGAAGGCAGACTCTGGGTTATAGTTAGAAGTTTTTGTCTGGACCTTTTGGTAATAAATCAAAATGAGATTCAATTCCCAGTGGGTGGCTATCTGGGTGTCAGGTGAATAGCCAGTGATTTGAGCCAAGTAAGCAAGTCTGCTTACAAACTTTAATGGATCTGAAGTCCAGCAGTTCTTCCAAAAAGATTAAAGTAAGCGACAGAGACAGGTAGTTAATCAAACTTTCTCCTCATTTTTCTTTGAATTATTAAGCTAAACACACCTCTGGTACATAGAGCTGATAAAACAGTGCTTTTATTTGTCAAGACCAAATCTTCACCCACTCTCCCAAGACAGGCTTTCCTCATTTCAATGACACTAGGTAATATCTGTCTCCTGCAAGCAAGATTCTTTTCTCTCTATAGCACACATCTCATGAGGGCTAATTTCTTGGGGGAATTTTTAAACAGTTCTTGGAAATGGCTTTTAAAAGGAGAAAGATTTGAAAAGTTTAGTTCCCTTCTAAGAAACAAAGCAAGAACAAAGAGGACCTCGCTTGCTTCTTGAAGTTATTCTGTTGTTTCTGATAGATGTCTGAACCAAATTCACAACGCAATCTTGTTCCTTATCTACAAGAAATTAATGACTCTGGGTGTTGTCACTTACCTCTTGTTGGGACCTTGTAGTCTTGATTATTGTCATAATAGCTCCTACAATCCCCTCAGATGACTACCACTCTTACCTTATGCAGAAAGCGCCCCTATGAAGAAAACAATAAATGGCAGGGTTTGCTTCGTTTTTAAATGTATCCAAATTTCACTAAACATGTAAATGAATGTCTTTCATGTCAAATGAATCACTTTCCTACAGCCAACCACATACATTGGAAGTCTATAAAGCAGTGTAAATTTCAGTATGTTCTTTAGACATTTGTTACTCTCACCTTCAATGAAGTGAAAAAAATCATTTATCCGAATAATACACAAATTAAATGACAAATCTACAGGAGTGAATTGAGCAGCTAGACTTCAGAACCTGACATTTCCAGGGGCACTCCTGGGTGTCGTTTTGTTGCTTAGGACTAATCAGATATTATTTCACTTCCAGAACACTGTGATGCTGCTGCTATGAACTCATGAGACTTTACTTAGAATGTCCCATATTCTCTGACTACATTTCTTTATTCTATATAAATAGGTTGAAGCCATTGAATATTTTCTTTCAGTCAGAAGTTTGCAAGAGAAGGCATGCTAGAATACAAAAAAAAAAATCAATCAATATTTTCAGTCGAACAAAAGAAAATTAACGTAGAAAATAGTAAATATATGAGTATGAAGATGGATGAAAACAGAGAATCACAGAATATACTTCCAAAGGGTTGGGATATATAAATAAATAATCTGATAGTAATAACATAGGTGGGTAAAAGAAAGAGAGAGCTAGGGGTGAGGAAGAGCACTTAACTGGACCTGGACGTAAGCCTTAGCACTGCATAGATACAGACAGACAGACAGACAGATAGATATCAAATAGAATGATATCTGCAGTAGTCAACTTTACCAACTGAAATTAAAACTCTGCTCCAAAACTCAGTGCAACCAGAATGGTTCAGAAACTTAAGAAATGTCAGGACTGAGAATATGAAAGCTGATTAGCTTGATTCTTTTTAGGTAAAGTAATATGCACACAAGATCAACCATCTCCAGATAACCTTAAAAATCTAGATGTTAAAATAATTCAGCATAATTTACAATATCAGAAGTTAAATTTCCCCAGAAAAAAACCTGGAAAATTAGTTCGTGCTTATTACACAGATATTGTACTGTACACATTTATTAAGTAAATTTTAACTATATGGTTAAACTGAATAGGGACTATGCCCAGTATGGATATATTGTATTAAATTCTTTGAAATGTATTCAGTTACTTTCTCTGTTAAAACTATTTCTAGCTTCTCACTTAAACAGTCTCAAACTATAAGATCACAGGTATTTGTGATGTATTTTCTTCTCTAAAAGAAAGATCTAGACGCATCCTTCATCACATACTGCATTAAGGAAATAACAAAAGGATAAGAAGGAGAAGTTATACAACAGAGACTACCTTTTGGGTGCATTTTCATGTGCATAAAAGTAGCACTGGGCCTAGAGTCATTCATGGTAGAGAAAATGCTTAGTGTGTGTGGCCCTGGGGTCAGATAGAGAGAGAGAAATAGAGAGACAGAACCAAGGGAGAAAAGGAGAAATGGAGAGAGGAAGCAATGGAGAAGAAAAGGAGGAAAGAAGAGAGTATCACCTGTATGAAAGTAATAAGAAACATATACATATACAATTTTTAATTATAGTAATACATTTCTTTTGTTTATAAAACTCATTATCCCTCCCCCCCCACACACACACACTGCACAGGTAGTTCTCTCCTGGAATGTTGTTAGCATGCATTTCTGTGGATCTAGTGAAGGCTGAGATGTAGGTGATAATTATGAATACATCTGCATAAATTAGCCCAGAAGGGATTTTGATCTCATTAACATCAGCTACTAATTACCTAAACCACCAACTCAGATTCCAATTCGGGTTCAGAAATTCTCACAGTACCTCCCAGTGAAAAAGCCTCCTTCTGACATGCATGAATGATGGAGACTCCTAGTTTTGTTATGGAAGAAAAACAGGCATAGCCACATAGAAAACTGTGTATGCCAAATGTACTTTTACAAGAAGGCACTGCAAACATTTGAAGTGAACTACAAGTAGAATCTGTTTCTCGTGTGATTTTCTTTTCCACTACATTTTTAGGTCCTGTGGATGTCAATATTCTGGCTAAATGTAACCCCTGTCTGTCAAATCCCTGCAAAAATGACGGCACCTGTAACAACGATCCAGTTGACTTCTACCGGTGTACCTGTCCATATGGTTTCAAGGTACTGTGTTTTCATTAGTCTACTCTGCCTTCTCTATGTGCTGAGCACTTCCTTACTTGTATTCATCCTTACTTGGCCATGTGTCCTCCAGGGGCAAGACTGTGATGTCCCAATTCATGCCTGCATCAGTAACCCATGTAAGCATGGAGGGACTTGCCATCTGAAAGAAGGAGAAAAGGAGGGATTCTGGTGAGTCACTGGGGTGTGATCTCCTGTGTTTGAAGTATGGTGGCATGAAATAAGTAAGCGAATATGCATTTTCCCTTTCAAAGGAAAGGACAGTATTGTGAAACAAATGTTAGAATATGGAAAATATTTATTAGTCCTTGCAGTGTTACAAAAACAAATGGAGAGACCGCGGGTTTCTTGGTTTAGGATGCAACCCAAGCTAAAAAATTGAAAGCACCCATGTACACATAGTATAATTAATCGAGTCAGATCAGGACAAGAAACCATTGGCTCTGTTGGGCAACTTAATAGCCAACTGATCCCTAAACTCAAATCTCGTCTTCATCGGTTGAGTTTCATGTTATTTCTATATATTCCACTGAAACAGGAAATTATTGATTCATACTGAGGCCACAGTTATAAGTTAGACAAATAAGCTGTGAACCTTGAACCTAGAATCACTTAATTGTACAATAGAATTACTTCAGAAACAATTCACCAGTTATTAAATAGACTTCTTTTTAATGACACTAATACTTGCACATAAAGATGCAAATGTACCATTACAGCTTGTTAGAACGATCAGATTTTAGAGGAAATATACTTACAGTTTTTATGAAATTGTCTCTTTTTCATCTAGACTTTACTCAGAGACTATTCTGATATATAGTCATGGTTAAATATACAATGTTTTATGCTAGGGGGAGATATTGAATTTATTGAGACTTAAAATAGTCACATTTTATATTGTGTGTGGGGTTTTTTTTTTGCTATTAGACACCAAGGACATTATACATAGAATAGGAGATGGTACAATTTTTAAAATCAGAACAAGCTCCTCCCACTGCTGAGCAAAGAAATATGACATATTTTATTAGAGAGCAATCTTGACATTAAGATAGTTAGGGTTGTAAAGTAAAACTTGGCTTGTGATTTAGACCTGCAAATATGTTGAGTTTATTGATTTTTAAGATGCTGGACCCATTTGTCATCTTGCAGCCAGCATAAATTTTAATTTTTTGAATGTTTACTGGTTTGTTGTATGTTACCTTAAATTGAGCCTTGCAACGTATCACTTCAAAGCATTTTAAAAATCAATTTCTTGTAGTTTACAGCTTTATAATTGATAACTGTTTAGATCACACGCTTTAAAATGTAGCAAAAGAAAAAGAAAATGTTCCTTGCCTTTCTTCGATGCTCAGGTGTATTTGTGCTGATGGATTTGAAGGAGAAAACTGTGAAATCAATGTTGATGATTGTGAAGATAATGATTGTGAAAATAATTCCACCTGTGTTGATGGAATTAATAACTACACATGCCTTTGTCCACCTGAGTACACAGGTATGAAGAACAGGAAATAATATGCCATTGATCAGTGAATCTGTTTGAACGCATGACTGACACTATGTTAAATTTGTTTACTGAGCCTGTCTATAATTCAATAACTGGTAGAAGTATTAGAAATTAGATGTAGTATTAAAAAAGAGGGATTTAAGGTGGCTTCACCCAAGCAAATAAAAGACCCAGCAAGCTCATTTCAGTACACACATCCATCACAAAGTCATTTTACCCAGCAACAAAGAAAGCTATTCTAAAGAAACATTTGTCCACAATTCAGCGAAGTTTTTTTTACCCCCTGTGTTTTTTTTCTTGTAGTTGTTTTTGTTTCTTGTTTGTTTGGTTTTTTTTTGTGTGTGTGCCAGTCCTGGGCTTGAACTAAGGGCCTTAGGTGTTGTCCCTGAGATGTTTGGATCAGGATTTGTACTCTACCACTTGAGTCACAGCTCCACTTCCAACTTTTTGATGGTTAGTTGGAGTTAAGAGTCTCATAGACTTTCCTGCCCAATCTGGCTTCAAACCTTGATCCTCGGATCTCAGTCTCCTAAGTAGCTAGGATTACAGGTATGAGCTACCTGTACTCACCTTCCAATGAGGTTTTTATAGCAGATTCCTCATGCAAACGGACTCACTAATCCATATGTAAAAAGAGGGAATCTCTCTACTTTGCCAGAGCGTGAGTAAGCATTGAGATTACTTAGTCCCATACTTATTTCCATGTCCTTCATGATGATACTCATTTAGGAACATATCGAGCATTAGGGTATTTTTTATGGGATTATCACTTCTTTTTTGATGCTTAATCTCTGTTGGATAAATATGACTACACACACTGCCATACTTCTGCCATACTTCTTTCCACTTCACACCAATTTTCTATAAAGTCATCAAGTTTATAATTATCTATCTGAAAAGATAGCTTTATGATTTATTTCTGAGACTGAATAGAAATACCATAGCTATATTTGTCCTAAAGAAATTACTCAAATTTAATAGAAAAACGAGAATATGTATTGAGTAGGAAATTGGATCCTGCCATCCTTGTGAAAGTTACTATTTTGATTTTGCTAGATGTTTGAATTTTAATTTGCATGTACTTTTTTGTTTAAATTTTTGTGTGTGCCAGTCCCGGGCTTGAACTCTGGGCCTGGGCCTCTCCCTGTCCCTGAGCTTTTATGCTCAAAGTCAATGCTCTGTCACTTGCACCACAGCTCCACTTCAGGTTTAATTGGAGATAACAGTTGCATAGTTTTTCCTGTTGGGCTGGCAGGAACCACAATCCTCAGATCTCAGCTCACAGTCCTGAGCCACCAGCACCTGGCTAATTTGCATATAGTAGAATGCATGGTTAACGGTACCTAGACTGACATAACCTTGTGGGTAGCTAGAGTTAATTGCGCTAAGCATTTAAGAGAAACACAAATCTGTATAAACAGTTTTCCCAGAGATTTGTTTAGAAAAATCAACTTTTTATGAAATATTGTAAAACCACATTTTACTAAATCCTTTTCTTAGTGGGAAAGTCTTTTTTGCACTATGGCAACATACTATATAGAACAAGATCAGTTTCAAACCCAGATCTACTGGAGTCCTTCTGAAACTACCATTTCCATGATACACTTTTATTTATACCAGTAGAGCACTAGACTCTCCATAAAATTATATCATATTAAGTTCCCTGAAGCAATGTGGATGTTTTTGATGACTATTTGATTATATAACAGTGCTTAGTGGGCAGGAATTGAGCATTCTGTGATATTTTGCATTAAGAAAGGTTAACAAGAATATTTAGAACAAGTGTCTGGTCTAAAGTGGCTAGAAAGAGGTTAGATGTTCCATAGCTTTGAATTTCCACCAAAACAATGTGGGTCATACCTCAGGTTTTTGCCATTAATTTTTGGCCACAGATTACGGAGCCTTTATGGTTTCCATGGTTGGGCTAATTTAAATGTGTGCAAGAAGCCAAATTCTACTACTTGGTAGCATCATCTTAGGATAGATTAGCTCCTTATGTCTGTCATTGCTCTGATCATTATAAAAAGGATTTGGAAGCCCACTTACTTATGGAGGCCTCTCTGAGCCAATCTGCTCTGACTTCGCCAGAAAATTGGACCTCATTCTTATGAACATAATTTTATATGCCATGCTATCCTGAGCACAGAAAGCAGGAATCTCTGTATGTTTCTTATTTGATGAAACCTAGATTTGGAAGTACAGCTGTATTCAGGTTTCTTTCCAAGCTGGTTTTGAACAGGTCCCGTGTTTGGGCCATAGAATGGTTATTACTTATTCTTATCTTTTGAGTCTTTGTCTTACAACTGACCCTCATTTTCCAATCTCCTGCCCACCTTATGTTCTGGGAACATCTACTGCTCTACAGAGCTATTCAGTTCATTATACCTTACTCTGAGAAGTGTCATCAATTCTTCCCTGGGGATGTCACATTTCTGTCCTTAAAACATTAGAGTAACCCAAAATTTAGTTAAACCACTTAGCCAAATGTGAAGCTTATATATAAAAAGGAAAACCTGTCATGCATGAACCTACCGTGACTCCCTGTCAAGAGCCATTTTGGCTCCAGACCAGACCCAGAGTCTTTCAGTATTTTTACAAATACGAGTTTGCCTTAATTTGAGCAAAGGATCTAGGCAAATCTAAGCTCAAAAGAAAGTGCATGGTTGCATGGCCTGGAGATCATGAGGATAGCGCATTGCAACTTTCGTGAACAATGAAGGGGTTCACAATTAGGCTTTAGATTTGGAATCTCATTAAAGAGCATGAGTTCTGGGACCAGAACCCGGCTGTGATCAGGGACGATAATAATGTTGCCATTGTATAAAACTCATTCAAGTCACAAGTTTTCTTTTTCCTTTGAAGATTTATTTTTCACTCTTTATCCCAAAGGCATACAATGAGGAAGGGAATTCTAATAGGAGCAAATAAAACTTCATAGAAAAAGCTTATAAGTTATTATAGCGTCAATGTTTGCATTTGGCCTGCATGCCAAGAGTCAAAATGAGCATAATATTGTCAATAGAGAAAATTCAGAGGACCGAAGGCAATATGACAAGGAAATCCTGGCATGATGAACTGGCTACAAATCAGGGCTAGAAATATTAAAGAAAAAAAACTTTGAGAAGTTTATCAAAGTTTATTGAAACCCTAAGTAAGATCAGAATAAGTTAATGATTTATTAAAAAGAAAATAGGTTTTTTTCCTTTGCCAAAGAGATTGACAACATAAATTATAAAGGCCAATAATATAACTGTTCTATTATTTAAACTTTAACCTCTCCATCACACATCACAAAACTTTTCTCTGTCTGCCTGCTTCATTCACCACCTGCCCTTCTAGTTAGATAATGCATAATCTTTGAATGATGGTATTCTTCAAGCAAGATTAACTTTTGACAACTTGAATTTGCTATGATCTTCAAACAAAATTTCCATGCTTAGTATTAGAAGACTAAGACATTGGAAATGTTAAATAATTTTTAAAAAAAACTATTTCTGTGGTTTTAATCCTACCTTGAGAAATGGTAGGTCTTGATTTTGCTTTTTCTAACAAAGCATACTAATATCTATTCTCAAAACCAGGCTAAATTTTCAAGGTTTTCAGTAATTCAGACAAGGTCATAAGCCTATAAAGTGAAAACCAGAAGTATTGTACTCTGAAATATTGAAAATATGCCTGGGTGCCTTTTCTACATGTCATATTAGGTGAGATGTTAGATTGACAATTATGTTTTCTCATGTACCCCAACTGTGAAAGCACTGGTCTGACATGTCAAGACTACATGTCCTAAGTATAGATCCACACAATGAAGGACATACACAAATGAATCCTAATTTATGCCTTCAAGTTACCAACTGGTAACTTTTCTTACAAATTGGGCATGGAAAGCCTTACAGTGTACTTTGTGAAAAATATTCAGAGAACTTTAATTTTTCTGTTTTGTGCCACTATTTCTGTTTTCCGAGTCTCCGAGATGCACCCACAAACCTTTCAGTGTACATCTTAAAACAGTGAAGTAGCAGGTGCTTCCAGCACCTGGATTAGATGGTGACACCTAGACCCCCCTGTAATGGCATTTACCTCTGGCCTCATTTTTCTCCATGTTTGTGTGTTTGGCCCTGCTGTAGGTAAGAAATGTAAGCCTGGCTTCACTTTGCTTTCTCACCCTGGCTTCTCTGTCCTTAATGCTGCACCTTGCCTTCCTGTGCTCTGCTGTTGTATTGCAATGTAAAAAGTCTTTTGTCTCTTCTGTCTTTGTCGCTGCCAGCTGCTAATCTGAATGAGGTGGAAAAAGGTTAGTTGCCTTTTAAGTCTACTATGATTTTTTGCTTCACTTTTCTTCTTTCTTTTAAAGCTCCATAGGTTTTACTGGGTGTACCTGGTAATAAATGTTGACAAAATATGAAGTCAGAAAGCAATATGTTAAGTCATTCGTTCAGATCTTTGATGTATGTCTAGCTATGTCAGACACCATAAGCCGGGCTCTGAAATGCACTTTATCAATTTCTAGAAACTTGTGGCAGCAACCCTCAGCTGGGAAAAAGAGGTTGCTAAAAATAGAGACTAACATTTTTCTGTTTTCTACTTGTCTGTATGCTTTTACCTTTGTTCCTTTATATTTATTTGCCATAAACATTAAACATAGCAAATGCCAAAAAAGCTCAATAATTTGACATAAAGCTGAACATTTGAAATTATGCCTGCCCCTCCCCCACCCTACCCCAGTTGAGCATGCTTTTACTTTTGTGTGTGTGTGTGTGTGTGTGTGTGTGTGTGTGTGTGTGTGTGTGTTTAATGAAAACCACAGGTCATTTATTATACTAGATCTTCTATAGCTAGAAAAATTTTAAAGTAGCATGGATTTTCCTATGTCATTAGAGAATCTTATCAGTAGCAAACATGAAAAAGATTTGAATTTAGATACATTTATTAAGTCATTTTTACCAGATATACCTAGGGCTATGAAGAGCTAAATGGTAGAGGGTTTG